AGCTACCTTTAGAAAGTCATCTCACATGTATATAAGAGAAGACGTTTGTGCTCCATGTGTATCTTCTCACATAGCTGCTCGAACAGATGTGAGTTAAAGGCATGTGCTTTGATATAGCTAATGACTGATCACATCTTCCAAAACAACCTGTTTGACCCAAGTAGTGAAAACAACTGTTTGATCTGAGTAGTGAAACCAGAAAGTCATCTAGTCATAGCAGCTGCTCCTTCCATGCATACACTGATACAAAATGACCATGTATCAAAAAACTTGAATAGTTCTGTAGCTGTGGTGTTGGTTGGCAACAATAATGCATATAACATATCCTTATGCGCATCCTCCTGGAAAATATATTGCACAAAAACAAGTATTATTACCTTGTTGGCAACATCAGTAGACTTGGTAATTCATTAATCCTCTCTAACAATTGTGTCTTAATGTCATTGACTATTTCATCAATTTGTCTATTTATAGTGCTAGCTGAAAGAGGAACCTATGCTACCTTTTTAATTGCAGCCTCTCCTAAAACTTCACTGCAAATGTCCTTAGTGGAAGACAGGATCAACACTACAGCAATAATAAAGGGCTTCTTAGCCTTGGCAATGCAGTTAAATACTAAGAATGATGCTCTCAGTGCCAACACATTTAGTGATGTGGTGGCCTTTAATAATTGCTTTTGTCCTTTGTGTTCACATTTTTTTATTTAAAAAAAAACTCTAAAGGCTTGTCTTGGTTTCTATGTGGTGAAGCATTTTTGAAGGCTTCATGGCCTCATTGGATAGTCACCACATATTGAACAAAGCACGCTTGAGGCATGTGAATCACCTTTTGCAATAAAGTCATAATTTAAGTAGGATGTTTGGTATTTTATTTTAAATGCAGCTTTTTTCTTTTTTTTTCCTTTTTTTTTTTTTTTTTTTTTTAGTTTTTTTTGGCATATTTTGCCATCATGTCATTTACTCTTTTCTCCTTTTAAAGAAGCTTTCCAAGAAGGTATGTTTTCTACTCATTTTTGCTAGGATTGATTTGTGGGCTTCTGTGCATGGAAAAAAAACTGCAACTGTGACAAGCATGGAAAAGAGGCACAGAAAGAAGTGGTTCTTTTTCAAAATAAAACAAATATCTGGTAAACTACAATAGTCAATAAACTGGAAAAAAACTTTTTATTCTTTCTGTGCAGTCTGGCACCAAATGGTTCATGGCCCATTACTGGGGGATCACTGAACTAAGTTATTCATTATTTTCTTCTGTTTCTCTTGCCTTCGATGCGACCTGTGAATATTAAATTCTCCAAACTTTCTTTCCTCATTTTGAGTCTCAAAAGTTTCAGCTGTTAACAGTTTCATTATAGTTCCTATTTTCCTTAGAACTTCCTCATTCAACACATATGCTGTCCATGGAATTCACAGTATTTATTGGTAGAATGGCATCTTGGTTGCTTCAAGTCTTTTTCTGCATTTATAATGAAATTGTCTAGCTTTCACTGGAAGTTAGAGATCACATAGCAGTCTTGCAGTCTTTTTTTTATTTTCAATTTTATTTTACTATCCCTTAGGACCTTACTTAATTTCTGAAAAGTGTTTTTCACTATTCCTCTGACTTCAATTTTCTGTGTCACACTGTCATTTGTTACTACACTATCAATATAATTGAATTTTCTTATATTTTGATGTCCCAAAAGTGTAACTCACACCTTAGGCTGTCTTTCTTGCTCACCACTATGCATTCTATATTCTTACACTTAATGGTCATTTTTTTCTTCTTGCCTTCTTTGACTACCATGTTTAATAGTTCTTTGAATCTTCCTTGTGAATCTGCCATTAAAACAGTGTCCTCTGCATAGTGTATGTTGTTAAGATTATGTCCCTTGATAATAAATCCTGGTAGAGACACTAATTCAGTTAAGATTATCTTGCTATATAGGCTAAATAATAATGAAAAAATATTATCACACACACACGCACACACACACACACACATATATATTTTAATACAAATTCTAAATAAAAATTAAGCACATTCCTTTCTATATTTTAATTTCAACTGCATACATGTCCTATCACATTTTGCTTCTTGAATAAATTGTATATTTCATGCAATATATCAATATAATTTGTCTTACATGCAAAACAAAAACAAAATGATACTTGTTCCACTGCTATTAATTACTCTTTTGAAATTCTAAATCTTTACCAATATTTGGTCTTAAACTGGTAATTTCCATTTCTGTAATTTGATATTTACATTTTTATCCTTAGCAAACAAAACATTTAATTTTGTCATTTTAAAAAAATATTTTTCAGCTCTATTGTTTTTAGCAAAACTGGTACCGTTTATTTTAAATATCATTATAATACATACAATAAATAACTGGCATAATAATTTTAAAAGTTTGCAAATCTATGTTATTCTTCTTGCTTTCCTTGGATACCATGCTTAATAGTTCTAGTCCGTATATTTATATATATATATATATATCCTGTTCATACTGAGTCAAATTTATTTAGCATTACTCTAGACTTAGATTTTATAATATATTCATAAATAAAAAGGGATACTAAAAATTTACTAAAGTATTACAATATAAAATTTGATGCTATTTAGACTCATTTACAGCATAGATTTTTATTGTAAGAAACATATAGAAAAACATACAGAAAATATCCAAAACAACTGTGAGATCAACCATAACTCATCAATCCCCTCCTCTGATTTCTTGATTCCCAGTTATCTCCCTCTCTTTAGAAAGGGCTCTAAAATCCACATGCATGGCCTGGGAGTTTACGCCCGGGACCATCTCCCACTGACTAGAGAACTCTCTCTTGAATCTCTAGACCATCCATATATGTGTCTCCATCTATCTCTCCTCAATTCTGTTAGCTATCTTTTCTTTCTTTACTGTTCCCTTCCTCTCAAGACTGTGATGTACTCAACAGCATTTCTGATGATATAGACAAGGCCATCTCTCTACATCTGTTTGCACATATATTCGTGTTCGGTGACTTTAACACCCACTATACCACATGGCTTCAACACTTTATAACTGACCTCACTGGCATATAAACTCTTTCCCTCAATCCCTTACACAAGTGTTTGACTTTCCTATGCATTTCCCCAGTAACCCTAACTGTAAGGCTTCCCTTCTTGATCCCAGTTTTACCTCCATCCCTGGCTCCTGTCGTGTCATGCAGCTCTGCTCTCTTGGTAAATCTGATCATGCCGTAGTGTCTGTTAACATCTCCTTCTACTCCTCCCCCAGCAAAGAACCTCCTACTAACAGAATATCTTTCTGTTATCAATGTGCTCCTGAACTGGCACCAGTCCTCTCCAGACTATATAACTCACTGACTCTTGCTTTCTAGCCTGTTGGATGTCCTCATCTGTTGTTCCTGTCTTTAAAGAACTCTGGTGACCCTTCTGACCCATCTAACTACTGTCCTATAAATCTCCTACCACTCTTTGGCAAAGTCTTTGAGGCCTTAATCAACACCGAAGTGGTTAAGCACCTTATATCCCATGATCTTCTCTCAGACAAGCAATATGGTTCCCACTTTGCCCAGTCCACCACTGATGTGCTCACAACCATAACTGAATTAATATATCAAGCACTTGACAATAATGGAGAAGCTCGAGCCGTAGCTTTAGATATCTCTAAAACATTTGATAGGGTTTGGCCTTCTGGCCTTCTTTGTAAGCTTCAAGGATATGGCATTACAGGACAATTATTTGACTTAATAAAACCATTCCTGTCAAACTGTGAAATGAAGGTCATCCTAAACAGATTCTCCTCCAGTTCCTTTTACATGAAGGCAGGTGTTCCCCAAGGATCTATCCTGTGTCCTACACTGTTTCTGATCTTCATCAAAGATCTTCTTGATGTCATCAACTCTCAAGTTGACATCTACACTGACAACATTACTATTTACACCTGCCTCAATAGTAAATCCGGCATCGATGACAAAACTAACCTGGCCCTAGGCCTCGAGAAGGATCTGTGGTTGACTGGAGCAGGAAATGGCTTGTAAACTTTAAAATGAAACTGCTCTCAGTTACCCACCATAGAGAAGCCTCCCTGTCTCCCAACAGGAAAGCTGATGCCCAACTCCATGAGAGCGCCTCTCTGTGCTTGCTTGGTCTCATGCTGTCCACTGACCTGAAGTGGAACAACCACATTGAATCTATAGCTTCATCTACTGCAAGGAAAGCTGGTTCTCTGTGTCGCGCCAGAAGGTTTTTCTCGTCTGAGTCCATCCTTCAAATCTACAAAACAACCATTTGTCCTTGCATGGAATACTGTTGCCATATATGGTCTGGTGCTCCTGCTGTTCATCTCGAGATCCTTGAGAAAATCCAGAGACAGATATGAAACATGGTTTGTCCTGATCTGTCATCCTGTCTGCAGTCACTATCTCACAGACATGTTGTGGCTTCCCTCTGTCTTTTCTACAAGTACTTTCATGGCAACTGATCTGATGAGCTACTTTCACTGGTTCCCAAACTGCATGAATTTAAGCGTGCTACTAGGTTGGCATCTCAGTTCCACCCTTTCACTGTTGAAATGGTTAAATGTAGCCATCTCTTCTATTCCAACAGCTTCTTGTCTCGCATCTCACATCAGTGAAACTTCCTTCCTATCACTTGCTTCCCTGATAGCTATAATCTTCAAATGTAATGTCAATCAACATCTTCTGACGCTTTGACCTTGATCCCTGTCCTCTCTATCCATTTTCCAAACACTCCTCTTTACTTTTACTCTCACTCTGTAACCCCTTGCATGCTAATGACACTTCTGCCTTGCTTGGAGTGATTTGCTTAAAAAAAATTTATATAGATTAATAAATATTACCATGTCAAATGTATTTGGATTTGATATATTTATTTCTATTTCAAAGAATTAAAAGTTAAACTAAAAATTCAAAGTAACACCTTACAAGGAGGTGCTGAAAAGTTCTCAGCCAATCCACTGTTTATTGTAATTCAATATGGCTTTTATCTTTCAGTTTTTTAGATAAGATGTACTTCCTTTCAAGTGTAGAATATATGGACAAATTTTTGCGGAATCCTCGTCCTTATCTTTTGAGACCATACCCAAAATCACCTTGCAAGATTTCGATTTTGGGGATGCCCAAATCTGGCAAGACAAATTTATCTTACTTACTGGCTGATAAATACCAAGCAAAGGTAAAAAAAAATGTTTAATATACACCCTCCCTTGTGCGTGTTTATATATATATATATATATATAGGAATCAAATAAGGATCAAATCTGACAGAATGATAGAATAAGGAACAAATAGGAAACTTTCATATATTTAACATGTTTGACTTTTATTTAAGCTTTATTAAAACTATTTCAAATGCATCATGGAAGAGTATGTTCTGGTACATTTGAGTTCTGTGTTGTTTGTTTTTCATTGGTCAGTTAGATCTCTCATATTTTTGTCTTGTGGTGCTAGTATGTGCATTTGTGTATGTGTATCTGGATTCTACTGGGCATTTTTGTATCTATCTGGTAGTGTCCATGTGTTTAATTCTTGAAGATGGAGGTGGGAAGAAAATGAGAAAAAAGTTGGTTAAATGTACGTTATTAATGTTGGACTATATTCTATGGCTAAGAAAAAAAAAATTGTGTGTATTGGGAAATTTGTAGCTATGTGTTTGGGCTTAATTCTCTTATTATTGTATAACATTTATTGAGGAAAAATCATGTGAGTATACACACCAACACCACTAACTCCTACAAGACTGACTAGAAATTTGATGCACACACATACATGTACAACTTTCCCATTTTCTTTCCATTACCATCTTCAGGAATTAAACACATGGACACTACCAGATGGACACAAAAAATACCCACTAGAATCTAGATCAGGGGTCGGCAACTCATTTGACCCCATGGACCGGATCATGTTATAATGATGGGTCGTGGGCTGGATGAAGGACATTAATGAAAAATGAAGGAAAATTACATATGCAGACCCCTGTCAACTTAAATATTTAAAACCATAATGAAAATAAACATTGAGAAATCAGAAAAACAAAAGAAAATCTAAAATTAAAAAACACCTAACAAAAATTACTATTCCTCAAGGAATGTCAAAATACTTCAAAGTGAAAAAAATCAACTGAAGTGAAATGGATGAAATTATGACGTTAGGTTTGAAACTGTTATTGAAAATTGTTCCACAAATGAAGCACACACACACACACATTGTTATGGTCCGGTTCCTTGTACCACGGTGATAGTCCAAGGTAGAGCCAATAAAGAAGAACTCGAACACAGGTATGGAATAACACAGATATATTACAAACAGGAATATATACAGAGAAGTAGAAGTGTTAGTATGAACAATCAGGTTTAGTAGAGAGAACAATGTAGTCTCAACCTGTATCACTATTCCAATGTCTTGCAGTAATTGTCTGAATGCGACACTGTTTCGGACTGCCTCTGACTCGATTCTTGACTCGACTTGAACTACTGACTCCTTGCCTACTCCTGAGTCACAGTATTTATTAAGTATGGAATAGTCCATTATTATTATTATGGGTAAGATCCCATAACACACATCAAACAAACACGAAGCACATATACCCATACATACGAGTACAAATAGTTGCAAACATATACACTACACGTTAAACATAAGAATTATTATCATCTACACATTCATGAGGCATGTATGTATAATGCGGTCGAAAAACAACTGTCTTTAGATTTCTGCTACCTCATGTCAGTCCCTCCCTGGCCTCTTTTCACTTTATCGTTCCTTTCGCTTCTGTTATCTTTTTAATGTAGCAAAGGGTCATAACAAATATGTGTAGACATTCTATGGAAAATGACATAAAAATTTCATTTGAAGGTTTTCTCTCATGTTAAAAATAGAGTCATTGGTAATCAGGCTCAAAAGGGCTGGTCAAAAATGACTTTATTGAGAAGTCGATTATCCGGCCCATGGGCCATAGGTTGCCGACCCTTGATCTAGATGCACACACATGCACTAACACCACAAGAAAAAAAAATACAAGATCTATCTGACCAATTAGAAATAAACAACACAGAACTCAAAGTACTGGGCCATTCTCTTCCGTAACCCATTTGCTAGATGAGTATGTTAGGTCCTAAAAAACTGTTGATCTATTAGGATTTTTTGCACAACCTTTTCTAGGGTTTACAGAGAATGGTTAAGAAAAGAAAATTCATAGAGGTTGGAAATTAAAAGGGATAGAGGAAAATGGCTAGATTGGTTCAAGCTGATAGAAAGATAAGTAGACCAAATAACTATTCTTTACAACAGAGGTATGCAGAAGAGCATTTCTGAATGCACAACACATCAAATTTTGAAGTAGATGAACTACATTAGAAGAAAATTAAGGAAAACTGAGGCTACAATTTGCTAAGGATTGCAAAAATTGGAAACACACTGCCATAAGTCTCAATTCCTACTACAACATTTGTATGGTAAAGCCAAAATTTGGCATAAACAACATAAAATTATGGATTCATCTGGTCTTAAATCATTGGTTCAGTCTGGTGATGGTTGTGATAGTAGTGTAATGGTATGGGGAATATTATCTTGGCATACATTATAACCCTTTGTATCACTAAAAGATTGTTTAAATATTGCAGCCTTTCTAGGTATTGTGTCTAACCTTGTGCCTCAGTTTATGACTACAGTGCACCTATTCTCTGGTGGCCACTTACTGCAGAATAATGCACAATGTGACAAATGAAAAATAATAGCAGATTGGTTCATGGTACACAGCAATTAGTGTTCTGTGTTAAATTGGCCCAAACAGTTACCAGATCTCAATCCTATAGAGTACCTTTGGGATGGGGTGGAAAGAGAGACTCAATTCCTGGATATGCAGCCAACAAATCTAGAATAATTACAGGATGCCATGATAACAGCATGGACCTAAATTTGGAAAGAGTGCTTTCAGAACATCAAGTTCATACCAAGTAGAATTTCAACAGTTCAGCAGGCTTGGGGATAAAATATAATTCAATACGAAAGAACTGCTAGAAAAGATCACTCATTTATTGTCATGTTCTTTTATGTTATGAATTTTCAACTTTACACATTCTCTTGTAACTAAAGCAAAATTATAAGCAAAAATCAATAAGTAATAAATCATATACTTTATAATGCAAACGATTATAAAATATTAACACAATATAGTTTACAACATATACCTAATAAATGTTGTCAATTATTATTTGTTTGTAAACTTTAATTACAATTAACAAGTATAACTTAATAAATAATGTATTTATTATGACATTTAGAAATTAATATTTCTACCCATCTATCATTGTCATATTGTAAGTTTTGTTGTGTCTTTTAGATACCTTGATTTTTACAATGGAATTTGTTAAAAATAAATTATAATACACTGAATGGAAACAAAAGCCAATTAAAAATTATATATATTTTTCAAAACATTAAGATAATGAAATTTTGACCCAAAATTTAATGAAAAAGGAAATAAAACAATAAGCATAAGTAATATCATAATTGGACAATGTTTACATGAATTATATCCTTCCAAAATATATTAATTGATTAAGCACTATATGAAATGAAAGAGACCCTTTCCCATGAACAATATATCAATGGCAAAAAATATCAGTAATAACTGCATAAATATCTCAAGTTTATATGAGAAAAGACACTTCAAATATGACACAGTGAAAAGTTTAACTTATTCTATTAGCCAGAACTGTTTCTGTTCAAGTCCTTATTTTATTTCAAGGAATTTTGAAGGACATATTTTGTTCTTGACAGCCCCTCTCCACCCAAATATATATATATCCTATCAAATCCTATAACTGTCAAAATATAAACAATTTGTAAATGTTTAAGTCAAGTGGTGTCAGAATTAAATTTTACACAGAAACAATGAAAGTAAGCATATTACAGATGCATAACCTTGTATGAAAGCATATAAAAAACTTTTAAATTTGCATGGACTTCCTAGAAAGAATGTTTCAATCTGCACATTATATCATTTCTCTTATATGAATTAATAGATTACCTTTTTGTAAGTAACTTGTTTTTCTATCAATCATTTTTCTTGTTATGCAGGTGATTCAGATTCAGTTTAAACTGGATAATGTAAAGGAGCAATTAGAAAAAGAGAAATTGGAAACCTGGAAGCAGGAATGTACTCAAATAGCCATTGAGTCTGTAAAAACAAGTATGAGAAAACAACTAATACAAGATTGTTTAAAAAGAATGAGTAAGTTCATACATTTTAAGATTAAATTCTCTTAGATATTAGATATTTCTCTTTTAAGGGAATGAATTTTATTAAAATAACTTTAGTGTTAACTGTGTTCATGCGTAGATTTGTAACTTTGTTGAAGAAGGCAGAGTATCAACATTTGTTTGGACTATTGAGCTCATTCTTTCTTTTGTTGTTATCAATGCAAAATCTGTAATGAAAGAAAGTGTAGTACTCTTGATCTATTTTTCCAGATTGCCTATACAGTAATGCCTTGAAATACAAGTTTAATTCATTCCAAGACCGAGCTCGTAACTCAAAACACTCATATCTCAAATCAATTTTCTCCATTGAAATTAATGGGAGTTAATTCCAGCCCCCTAAAAATCACCCTTATTTTACTAATAATAATTTTTATAATAAAAATATGCAAATAAACTAAAAATGTAGTTTACAAACAATAAAATAAAAGAAATAAAAGAGAAAAAACAAATTGTAAAGAAATAGTACTAAATCATGAAGTTAAGGCAGATCAAGAGCTAGCCTAGAAACCACTAACCTAGTCTACAATACTGAATATTAACTTTGTCACTTAATTTTAAATTTTTTAAAGGATTTACATTTATCCATTACTGTAACTAATTTTTTTTTAAATTTTATAATTTTTGATTTATCATTAATGTAGAATGCTCATACTGTCTCACCAAATTCATTACTCGTACATCTTCCTCAAGCGTTTTTGTAATTTCCCATTTTATCTCAAGTGAAATCATGTTTTGGCTTTTCACCACTGCTCTTTACACTTACTTATTTTAGACCCATGGTGTCACTAAAGGAATTTTACAAAATAATGGCACAACACAACAAAGATCCTTCCAGAGCAAGGTGAACATGTGTACTGTGAGTGGAAATACTGAAGTTTTGTGCTCACTGCACCAACTAGCAGATGCTTAACTGAAACTCACTCGTATCTCAAAATTCAGCTTGTATCTCAAGGCAAAAAATCATCCAACCTCTGGCTCGTATCTCAAAAAACTTGTATGTCAGTATGCTCATATCTCAAGGCATTACTGTATTCCTTTGCAAATTGTGATCCCAAGAAAGATTGCAGAATGGATTGTTTGAAATGTGAAAAGCAACAAAAGAAACAGTTCAGTAGTTCAAACAACTTTTGGAATCATAATCACTTATTTCAAAATTACAAAAAATAATGAAAGGGTAAATTTGTTAAAAATAACCATGAACTACATCTGGTAATAGCATACATTATTTGAATAGTTTAATATATTTACATATCTAATCAAAACCTAACAAATGTATGGGTTAAAAATGAAGTTTTCTATAAGTGTTTAGAATAGCCTATAATAAAAATGATCATGTTACAATATCATTTGGATATAATAAAAATGGTAATTTGCATAACAGTACTTTTATATCAACTTTCCTATAACAATAATAATTTGTACCTTATCTAGAATTGTTTTTTATGTTTGATAGAAATTCTTTGGAATTGTCTATAAAGTGGTCTGCAGAAAAGAAAGTCATGTCATGACTATAAGCTGGTGTTCTAACCTGATTTCTTTGTTTAGAATATGGTGCAAACTCACATTGGTTCAAAGAGTAGGAACCTAATAGTCCTAAAACAAAATAGAAATGTCTTTTTTTTTAACTTGAGTTATACATTTTAGAGATTGAAACTGATGCAAATAAAGGTGCAAGAAGGCATTTTGTTCAAATTCTTAATATAATCAAACAATAATCATACTTATTATAAAACCCAGGTTATGTGTGTCTGTCTGTACGTTTATATATTGGATCGGATTTCCTACATTTTTCAACCGATTTCAACAAAACTTCACAGGACTACGTAAAATTACCTTGCAGTGGTTCTGACAGCACCAAAAATTGGAAAAACAATTATTTTTGCACAAAATCAATTTGAAAACACAAGAGTCATCGCGAGAATGAAAGGAGGACAACTCATATTGAGTTATACTTATTATAAAACCCAGGTTGTTTGTGTGTGTGTGTGTGTGTGTTGATTTATATATGGGATCGGATTTCCTACATTTTTCAACCGATTTCAACAAAACTTCACTTCTTTTTTTGGCAGGTAGTGTTTCTTATTGTCTTGCACACTTTTTTCTTTATTTTTACATTCAGAATGCTTTAAAAATTTCATTTACAAGACAATAAAATTCTATTCAATCGGTAGACTCATAACGATTGAAAACAATGTTTTTGTTTGAGTTTGGGTTTGACCAATTCGTAAAAAAACAACAAAACAAAAAAAAAACTAATTAAGACATGCGTGTCCATCAACCTTAAACAATAATCTTTGTCAATTTTATTTTTCAGTCTTTATGATGGTTGATACTTGATCTATCTCTTACTGTTACATCCCCAGGCAACGCCGGGCTCTACTGTTAGTTGTTAATAAAAGAAAAATACAGTTAAGAAATTTTCCATTTGTAGATAAATTGGCTTATATCTCCTTAAACATTTCTATTATCAGTGATGTAGCATATTCAATAAATGAGAAATAGTGCTGTATCTTCACTTATACAGGGTTGTTAGGTACAAATATTCCACAATCATCTTGAGAAAAGAAATATATGACTTTAAACTCAAGCATTATAATAGTAATCATATGCCAACAATAATATTGAAAAATTTACATCTATATAATAGAAATAGCAGCTATAAAAACTGATGATTTTATGATAATTTACCTATTTTTATGTTGACAAAAAAAAGTTTATATGGTTTAAGTAAAAATAAAAGATATTTTTTAATGTTTGGCATTATTGAAATAATGAAAATTGTTTCACTATCTTCTGCCATCTCTTAGATAAATTTATAATTTCATCCTTGCATAGCATTTTATCTTTCTCAGCAAAGAAATGCTCCAGATGCCTTTTGCAGTCTCCAGTTTTCTTTAATTTTTTTCATAAAGAGAATTCTGTAAAAAACAAAATAAATAGTAACCTCGAGGGGCAGTAATTAATGAATGATGTGCGTTAATGAAAACATCCCTGCTAAATCATAATGTCTTGATGGAATAAAATATTCTTTCTGTTAAATAATTAGTTACACATTCTGTTGTTTGCTACCTTTAATTGGTCTAATTGGAAGTAGAATATCATTAATTTGGTCCGCCAGAAGATTCTTATAGTAGTGGCACCAAATACATAGCATCACCTTGTTTGGATGATTATTGGTACATTTCACTTGCTCTACAATCTCTTGCATTCTGCATTGTTAAGTACCTATATTTGATTGCTCATTCCAATTTCTTTGAAAACCAAAACATTTTAATACCATCTAAGTCATAGGATCTTTTGCTTAACTTATATTGAAGTCGGACATCAACACTGTAGTGTGTGGCTCATCTCAGATGGTACCAACTTGACACTAAGTGTCCTTCAGAGAAGTCAAATACAAGGTTGACCTAGGAGATGACCTCCTAACCAGGGGTGGTGATCTTCAGTTCATTTGATATCAGTAGCTGCTCTGATATATGAACATGATTGATCCAGCTGCACCTATGATGTGTAGTTGTAGGGGGAAAAAAAAGACATATGACAATCATTTACATGACTGTCATATGTCTTTTTTTTCCCACCCCAGTGAAAAGTTTCTCTTACATCCATTCAACAATGTAGGGTTCACATTTGAAGAAAGCCACATACACACTGGCTGATGGTGAATGACAAAATCTAGAGTTGAATAAACAATAATATTATATATGAGATTCTTGTGTACTGTTCACATTTGTAATGTACAAATGTTATATTAAGCATTTGGTAGTGAGGAGAATTAGAGGATTAAATTTTGAATAACTTTTATTGTTGGTAGCTCATACAGAGATGTTGAAGGATGTGTGGAATGTTGGTTTCAGTGGCCGATTATCAGGATGGTGGTTGGGTATAAGGGTAGTGCTGGGAATTGACCTAATTCATGTGTGGGTTTGATGTGAGGTTACAGGAGATGGTTGATGCCTGTGTTGGTTGATTGAGGTCACAGTGGAGGGTAGTATATCATACAGACATGTCGAAACTAGGTGAAATGTCAGTTTTAGTTGGTGATCATCAGGATAGCGATTTGGTGTATGCGTAACACCGAGAGTTAGCCTATTTCTTGTGCTGACCTGGGTGAGGTCACAGGATATGGTTGGTGTACATTTGGCTGATTGAGGTCACGGTGGTAGGTTGATTCATTGGTTGGTAGACCTGTTCTGTTGAATCAGGGTGATGTCGCATTGGCATCATGTTGGTGGGTTGAGTGTGTTGAATGCTTGTTTTGCAGAATTGTAGTCACTTGTTTGTGGAGTTAGAGTTGCTAAGTTGTGGAATTGGAATCACTTGGTTGCAGAGTCAGAATCGCTGCTTGCAGAGTTGGATTTGCGAAGGTGATGGCGTTGGCGGCAAGGGAAGCTTGTAGCTTGGTGGTATCAACATTCAGTATTTCCTGAGGTGATAGTGTTGTCGACAATGAAGGTTTGTAGCTGGGAGAAGTAAAAGTTGAGATGTTTTTGAGCCAAAGCTAAATAGCTGAGGTGGTTAGTCTGGGAGTGGTAATGGTCATTAAGAGGTGCAGTCATGTTGAGTGGTGGCATGAAGGTTACAACAGCAGTGGCAGCAGCAGCAGTACCCAGCATGATGACAGGTGCCCCACTGGGCCACAACTGACTGGTGGTGTTTTTAGAGACCTGCTTTTAAGGCGGTCGAGTAGTCTCCAGGGGCATCTCTCTCTCCAGTGAAAATATTTGAGATTGGCCACTGCCAGAGCTTGCTTCGTAGACTGGATGGGATGCATAGAGCCTAATGCACAGAAAACGTTTTTTGTTATTTCGTTCTCTGCCTTCATGGCATTCACATCTGGCCAGTAT